AGTAATGATAAAAACGTAAGCCCAGAATACTCAAATTCAAAGGGCAACAGTTTATAACCTATAACTTTACTCAGGTACTTAAATAATTGTAGGCCCCAGACATTAAAAAAGATGACATGAGTTATTATTGATAGTAAGCAGTATCAATGTTTTCAATTGACTTCAAGTGATTCTCAACAAAATATAAAATACAAAGCTAAACTATTTTTGAGAGCTAATATATCTTTAGAGAATGAAAAATCCTCTCTCACACTTTTTCTTAAAGTGAGGTCACAAAGTCTATATCACAGATTTATTTTCATGTAAAAAACCTAAATATTTCTATTCCAACTAATTGTTCAGAACATAAGCAGGAAAACAGTTTATTGTTATCATTATTTTTATTATTATTGTTATTATGATTATATCCTGATTATTTAGATGGATACCTTTGATGTCTTTGATTCTTATTCAAAACCAACGGAAACATTATTTACAAAATAATTTTCTGTACATTATAAACTTTATTAATAAATGGATTTGCTACAAACAAACTTTAAGAAATATATCAGATGTTTATAATGAAATATTGTGTCAATTCTACTAAAAGAAGTAGTAAAATTGACGAGTCTGATAATTTTGTTTGCTTGTTTTGTCTATAAAAAGCATGAAGGACCGCAGCTAGATTAGTAGGTGCTATAACTGGAAGTGGAAACAGATTGGATTGTATCCCAGGTTCACACATTAGGAGATGAGAAGGTCAATGGAAACCTATTCTGTAACATAAAAATGAATTCATGGCATGTATTACGGGGAATGAAGACTCAACCCCAGAAGTTAGGAAAGAGCAGAACCTTATGCTGGTCTTATAAGGATCCATAACTTCTCTAGGAATTCAAAGGCTGTGGCTGCTCCCCTGTTTACTCTTTCAGTGTTCAGTGTTGGTTAATGAAAAACTATACATGCCAAGCAGAAACCTAGATAGGATCTTCCTAGCCCAAATGGGAGGTTTTCAATTACTTCAAGTATTTCATAAGGATTTCATTTTTTTATTGCTCAAGCACACCAGTAAGGCTGGTTTCTCTCCTAAGTGGTGCATGAAGTGAAAATCTGGGCCACCACTTCAGCCATTTTATTACAGAGAATGTAATTGATCTCACCTACATTTAAGTTATATATGTTATCTGAGATAGTAATCTATCTGTAGATGAACTAGTAATCCTACTTTTGTACTGACAGACAAAAGGAGCAACTTTGGGACCAAGTTGTTCAGTATAATTTCCTAAAGTGCCTCTTTCCACTGGTTGTAAAAGGATCTTGGGGTGACTAGCTCAGATGCCACTGTCTGTATTTGGTCACATGAGCTCCAAACAACGTAAACCGCAGATTTTCCACCTCTGCAAAAGAAAATTTTGTAGATGTTATGTGGAACTCCACTCAGGACCAGTTACTTTTGGTTTCTGTTTTAAACAATAATGACTAAACAATAATGACTGTTCCTTGAAGAATACTATAAAGCAATACAGATAAATATCCAAAGGGCATAAGGGATATATAACTGGTTTAGATCTGTAAATGATAACCTTCTCAGTATCTCCAGGTTTTACATAAATAAGCTAAGTGTATTTAATACAAGATGATATAAATAATCTGGAAAGACATATATTCATAATAAAAAAGTTTCTGCTGTCCAAAAGGGGGATTATACCATTTAGATCTCTCTTTATATGATTAGTGTTCAAGGATTACATTAGTATTATGTGCAATGTTTTCCGTTTTTTATAATAGAGTTGAAAGGGAAAAGAACTTCTTTACGAAAATCTTGTTTCTGAATACGTGAAACATTTTTGATGAAATTTTTCAGTTAGCTATTTAATATTACAGAGGAAACTTTAGATAAAATGACAGTGATTTTTTATTAGGTGTGAATAGGCACTAGCAAACTATTAGTGTTGGATATCAACCTTTGACTTGTTCCAAAGATATACATGGAAAATAGCCTTGCATTCATAATATTTTCAAAGCCACTGATGAATCCTATGAAGGACGGTCCAACTTCAAATAAAAAGAATAAGACTGATATATAAAAAAATGTACAGAAATTCAAAAATTCTTAGAATTACCTGAAAAGGTTATATTATTTTTAGCTGAGAGTCTAGCTTCTTTGAATTTCACGAGATTTTTTGGATTGCTCATCTCACTGGGGTAACAACATCACATTTTGTATTTACATAAACATACAATGGATATTCCTTTCCCTAACTGAGCTGAAGCAAAATTTTATGTGTAAAAAGGCTCTTTTAGTTTTATTTGTATTCATTACAAACTGCATAAGAAATTCTGACTCTGAAGGCATTCCCAAGTTCTATTAATGAAAAAAAAATAAAAATCACTAATATTCCAACTAAGTTGAGTTTTATTTAAAAAAAAAAATATTTATTAAAATCTTCTTGTTAGTACTGCTATGAGAAAGAGAAAAAAAATTCTTAGAGTCATTTAACAGTTATGACTGATGCTACAGAACCAGAATATTTCTATCAGAAAGATCATCATGGCTTTGATTTATGATTTTCATTTAGATGGTCTCAATGAGAGTAATGCATTAAACTGTAATTTGAAATTCGATAAATTGGAATCTTTTCAGCAGAGTTGAGAAGAATAGAAATATTTCTGTGTTAAAGGAGAAATATCTTAGCCCCTCCCCTCCTCTCCTCAACACAGTTAGAAGTTCTAAGACACTTGGGGAAACACTTAGGAAATAACTCTTTGTAATTACAGGCAGTGAAATCAACAGCCTAACCCTTCTCTAGACTTTTTTGTCTTTCATGTCACAGATGATATCATTAGCACCATTTCATATTCACCCATCATTTTGTTGAAAAGTGTTTTTAAAGTGGCTACAATAATCACTATTCAGTTTGTGTCTGTGCACTTGATTTACCTGGAAAGAAGATCACCAGCAAATTTGTGGAGCTGGCCAGACTTTCAAAGGCTATGCCTATGCCTGTAGATTAAAGGAGATTGTGGCCAAATCCCTGGCCTGTTAATGCTTTAGAAGAAACATTCGAACTGCATAATCATATAATAAATATAAAAAGCCACAAAACTGAGACCAAGTGTAGCCAATCTTTTCCTCACTGCCTGGGTCATTATAATGTCGTATATAACACTTTGTATTGTCTTTCTATATGTCTCATATTAAAGGACCTTCAATATTAATTGAAATCACTATTCAATCTCATGGACTACTCTTTTTTGTAAAATAATATAATTTAAATAGATCAATTTTCAATAATAAAATATATCTATAGAACAAAATACAGACTTTTTATAGATAATAATCTTGCAGAAAAGTTTGGTAGAGGGTATAAGGAATGCAAGCACTGTGAAGTGTCAGAAAATTTTGGATATAGACTATGTCACTGTGAAAATTTGTCTGCAATTCTTGTTGTTTAAAAGAAAAACCTGTTTTACAAATCAGTTTATAGATTCTTAAGGCTAGAAGTAACTATACAACCTTACACATAAAAAAAAGTAATAGATTTTTATATGTGGTCTTTCCATCAAGTCCCTACTTCTCACTTAGGTAAACTACCACAGATTTCAGGCAGCTGAGCTTAATACAGAAATAATAAATGACAATGGAACAAATTTATCTCTAGTTTAACTGAAATTTTCAACAGTCATGTTTAGCATTCCAGTTTGAATACATCTAGCTTCCAACTACCTGACTTCATTGCATGCACATAAATGAGATTTAAAACTGCTACTTTCTGAAAATTCATCATGCAAAAAATTAGTGACTTTTTCTTTGATAAATTATCTAGAAAGACAAAAGATTTCATTAAACTTGACTTTTGACAAAACATGTATCTAGGTTTTCTCTATGATCACAGGAATGAAGTATGTAAGGTAAGAATGGTTTTTGTCCCATCCTAAGATCAGTGTCAAGGGAAGTGACATTTTCACTAAATAGTCTCTATATCAGACACTTAACTTTTAAAAGAGCAAAGATTAGTGAGACAATTAAAAACAGACTGGTGAAAAACCTGAGATGTTTCTGAAACATCTGCACTACTTTTCAGATCATATTTGAACTCCTACAAAATAGGCCTTTATTACTGATCAGTATCTTTAGTGTTGACATCAAAACGGAAGAACCTTGTAATGAGCTCATTATCATGCTGTATTTATAAAAACACCACCTGGTTTTACTCTGTGTATTTATTATGCATCAAACAATCGGTTTACAGGCTTAGCCTCTGTATCTTGTTTGGATTGTATTTTCCCATAATAGAATAGTGATATTTCCAGGGCACACACTGCCTTAAAAAAAGGGGTTTATAAGTGACTTAATCCTTAGTCAAAGAGAGAGAAATAATGCTGCCTTACAAATTAATCCCCTCCTGAAACAGTGAGAGAAGAGATCTCTAAAACAAAACCACAAACAGAAGTTACTTACTCAGCTCTACTAAGCTTGTGACATTTGAAACAGTTTCAACCTAAGGTGATCACATTGCCGTGTACTTGACAGGAGTTCTCTGAGCAACTGGAAAGGTGTGTTCTCAGTCAGAAACAGAATAAAATCCATCATTCAGACTCCTGCTGCAAGGAAGAGTGGCAGAGTTAAGGTACCTGTTCACATACCTACACTGGACTTCCAGAAACGCATGAACGCACAGAAACAGTTATGTACGTTCATCCAGCAGTCTTTTAGCCTCCCTGTGCCGATATTTATCAGCTCTTGCTAGCATATTTACTTTTCATTAGATTTTCCAAATGAAAGAGAAAAAAAGGCTAGTAATTCTTCAGTGATGTCCTTTCTTTAGTCCCAGGATATGAACTTCAACATTTAACTTAACTGAACTTTTGTTTCTAGATTTCACAGACATCAAATGTTTTGAAAAGCAGGCACTCAGATATTTTAATCATAGCTAAATTAAAATTACACAATTAAAAAGCAAGTGAATGAAGACTAGATCCGAACTTAACTCTAAACACACAAAAGGCAGTGGGATGAAAGATATATTTTATTGGTTTGTATATCAAGTACAAGTAAATACACTGAAGCATCTGTTTAAAGACTCAAGACTTAAATGCAAATATTAGAGGAAATGGTGGAATCTTGTCTCAAAATAACACCTGTTTGTAATTCACCTGGAATTCAGGCACAAATTCCTAATTCAACATGCAAAGTATCTTAGGAAGAATGGCTCTGTGCAAATGGACTTCAACATCTGTCAGTCTAATGATCAAATGGTTTAATGTCTGATATAACAATGAAAAATTCAAATTCTGTGTGTTTAGTAAAATATATGTATATACCCATATAAAAATATTCTATATCATCATTATATCGCAATATACATATATTTATTTAGACTTCACTTATTACCACAAGTATTGTGCTCGTCAAAGTTTTTGTTGATGAATGTACTCAGTTATTTCTTACCCATTCCTTTTGCTTCTCTAACTTCTTAGTAAGTGTGATATTTGTGTAGCCACATTCTAAAGGGAATGAACATCATAAAGAAGAGACATTTTTCATCTTGAAAGAAGTGTGAGGACTTCAACAGATGACCAATGGAATTAAAAGAATGGTTTTAACATTCTGTGTGTTCTCTACAAAAGGGTAGCATGGAAGTGTGCTGCCTTCTAATGATATTCCCCAAAAGTAGGATTTATACAGTTAGTCTTTGGCTACCTCTCCATAGAAGGGCTTCTGTTTGCTGTGATGCTTGATTTGAATGGTGAGATGCAAAACACACCTGTAGAGAAGAGAAACCACATATACCTATTTGTTTGAAAATCAGCAAAGTGCCACCAAAAGGCAAAATCACTTAAATTGTTATAATTTACAGTTACAAACTGTGAATCATATAAAAAATTGGCATAGGACAAATTTTCAAGTTTAGTAAATACGAACAGCTGTTTACAGACCTTTAGGAGCACATATGCTCAGTTCTTGCCAAGTAGATCTAAGTAAAACTAAATTTTCACTTAGGTATTTGTAGTTCAGTATTAAAATACATTCAGATGGGTACTAATGATGCCCAAACATTTTGACATATGACTGCACTGAAAACTCAATACAGCAAACATAAAAAAAAAATCTACAATGAGTTTTTACATGCGTATATTCTCACACATGGGAAAATCTGATTGACGTCCCCTTACAGATAGGACCTAAAACAGTCTGTGAGCATGAATGTTCATGTCCTCTATTTTGCACTCTTATCACATCTTTTTTTTATAACTTATTCCCTTCTTTTTTAGTTTCTCCCATAATTTCCTCATTTTTCCTCAAAAGCAAAAAAAATTTGCATATTTGCTTGGTCATTCTTCTCTTTTATGTCAAGTGCATAAATATTTCTTCTCTTACTATTTTTCTTTCACTATAAAGAGAAAACCAAAACATCACTATCAAAATGTTTCATTTTCCCAATGAAACATACATATTTACTATTTCCACACTGAAGTTCTGTCAGAAAGTTTTGATAAAACTGGTACATTTTTGTAGATTCTGAAATTTCATCTAAATTGCGCTTTTTTTAATAGAAAGCTGATAAGTAAAAAGAAATCCCGAAACTAAAAACCAAAAACCAAAAGAAAAAATACTCCAGGAAAATCTATGTCTAATATTTTCTGACAGCTATCAGATTTTCTTTTCTCTTGATTATGCTGTCACTGAGCTCATAAATAATTCATTTTACTTTTATATTTATATTCATATTATAAATATATGTATATATACATATATTGATATTATAAAATAAAATATTCTGTTTTATTTACACTGTGCTGCACTGCAGTAAGGTGGACAACAGGACTACTTTGCTCCAGCATAAGAGTTTTGGATTCTGTAAACACAAAAGCAAGCAACCTGTTGAGATACAACATCTCCTTATATTTTTCCTATCAGCAGCATTTTAGTTTGACATATGGAAGCACTGAATCACCAGAGCTTCTTACATAATCAATAGTAAATGTAATAATATTTTTCTTTTTCTTTTTTTTTTTTTGATTGCTCCAGAGGCACTGTCATCTGGGCTTCTCTGAGTAGCTAAATAGGTCTTAGCAAATTAAGTCACAAACACTTGTGATGTAGAGATAGTTGATCATCTCTCAACCATTTATGCATTAGGTATTGTTTTGGCTTAGGCCACTTCATCCTCTCCCATATTTTTCACCAGATGGTTGCATTGTGTGCACAGAAATGGATGTGACTGTTCCACCTCTCTGTCTTTTTGTCTGTTTTGGAAGTAATAAGAGATTTCAAAAGTTTGGCATGTCCATCAAAAGTCAGTTGGCTTTAGTGTTGAAGAACCATCCCTGGCACTGTTTAGTTGATTATTAACCTCTGAAACAACCTCCTATGACAGCCAGACACTTATTCTTTGATATTTCAGAGACTTAATTAGATATTTTACTTCATTTGTTCTGATGTTTGCAATTAATTATTTTCAAGCCTGCTCACTGAAACAGCATCAGGGCATTCTTACAAAGAGGCGGTGCATAAGTAAATAGGTGACAGGCTAGCTGAACACATTTATCACAGCAAGAGGAAGCAGAAAAAGGAAAAGTAGCTCAGAGAAAAGGTTGGTCTATTAGAAGAAGTATGTTTTTGAATCAAAAATACCAAGTGATATAAACATATTTTAGGTTTTCTTATTTTTTCATAGGTATTTGCACTTCCAGGGCCAAAGTTTGAAATAAATATTTTGTAGACTACTGTATGCAGTAGGAGTGGTAAAAAAATATATATGCTGTATCAATCCTATTTCTGCATATTGACTTGTCACCACAAAAGGGAAAAAATATAAATTGAAAAAATTACAGTGAGCAGTTGCACATTTTCTAAGCCTTTGTTCTTTTTTTTTCAGAATATGATTAAATTATATATAAATATACAGTAAATGGATCATTCTGGATCTATGCAACAAAATTGGAAAAGTCACAATACAGATGAGTATCATGTCTCATCATAACGGAAAATAATACTTCATCAGTAACCTTTAAAGGAGAAAACTGACAGTATTTCATAAAAGAACTTTAAAGGTGACTTTCTAAGGTATATTCCTCAATCTAAGCTAGATTCCAACTGCTGCCCATATAAGCCAATGGAAAAGAGATCTGCATTGCCCCAAGCAAGGAGATTTGATTTCTATATTTCACAACACTTTCACCTCATATATTAAACTTAGTGTAAGCTATACTGTTTGTTTAGATTTGGTTTGTTTAAGCATACTCAGGATGCCTAAAGCTTTTTAGCTTTATATATTTATGCATTAACATTCAAATAAATGACTACCATGATGGAAATGCACTCAAGACTACAAGAATGTTATTTCATCTGACTTAAAACATTTTATAAACATTTTATTTTTCCTCATCTTTCTCTCCTGGTTGGAAATTTTTACTGCTTATTTATGCTGTTTATTATCAGGTGCAGTAAATGGTGTCCAGAAAATAAGGCTGTTAAAAGTTGACATATAACAATATATGTATTTGTCTTCATGGAACCAGGTTCTCACCCAAATAAAAATTATTAGGGTCACTAGCACCAAGGAAATACTCTTAATTTTAGGATGCAAAACTGGTATTTATTGAAATGTTTTAAAATATTATCTGAACATTTAAATTATTTCCCTAATATCAAATATATGAAGCAAATTTAATTTCACTCTTCTGTCAGAGAAAAATAAAATTTTCAGTACAGCTGTTTTGTTTCCAATCTGTCAGCAACATACCCAGGGTCTCAGCTGCTCTCCACACGCTGTAAGAAATACAATAAGTCTAATCTTCCACTCTAGCCTGGGCATGTCCATATGAAAAGGTATATATAGAATTCATACCATTTTTACATATTCTGCATCTCTGTTAGCTACATGAAGACCTTTAATGAAGATAAACAGGTACTTATTTTCTCTCACGATGGAATGAATTGCAGTACAAGAATCTGTTTCTCTGTGATGATTACAAAAATAACCTCAATAACTACGTCCAGCGTGGATATCTGTACACTACATGGCAAGTGTTAGATGAAGTAAATCCTACCTGGGAGATAAGAGAGAAATTTACATCCATAGTAAAAATGTGAACTTCTACAAAAAGTCTTCATTATATGAAATTTAACATTTCTACAGTTATGAAAATATGAAGTAGAAATATGGTTATCCAAATTTGATATCATTACTGCTAATGAATCTTGGCAATCACGATATTTAAAAATGGGTCTGGAATGAGCCTAGAAAAAACAGTCAGTATGTTCCACTGTTATGTACATTATTTTGTAATTTTATTTTTGTGGATCATATAGTAAGGAATGAGTAAAGGAAAATGAACGTAGTTATATCATTAGAAGTTCTGGCCTAAACTAGTTGCGGCAGAGACAAACCTTCTCAATGGACACTACTACACAAAGTCTAGACAATGCTAATTAAACCCACTTTCCTCCTCTCTCTCTTTCCCTTCTGTTGATAGCAACTCTGCCTAGGACAAATGTCTGGAATTCAAGAAGGAATTATCTCTGTTAAAAAAATGCCCTATAAATTAAGATAATTTTACTAGTGAAAGAGAACAGATGTCCTTATTTCTATTTTTTAGTTTATCTTTCTTTTGAGAACTTACCTGCCTGAATCTCTTCTTAGTTGCAATTACTTCTATGCGTCATAAATGCATGAGTCTTAAGGATTATATTTTTAATTGGAAATATCTTAGGAGAAACAGATCCTGTGTTGTAAAACGCAAACCCCATAGTTTCTTTTGTGTTGAATTTTCATATGGCCAAATTCATTGCATAAGTATATGGGAGGTATAAGAAATGCCAATCTTTTCCTATGTGAAGCCTATCCACTTTCCCTATAATGTTCATATATGGTTAAGATTTATATGAGCCAAAAAAAGAACCTAATTAGCATCTCGTTGACAACTCCAGTACCTAGCATTCAACATGTAGGAATAGATACATTTCCAGAAAAATTTGTAATGGGAAGTTAGAACTCAATTCGCTAGGAAGGCTTTCTGCATGGATGGCTCTTTCTCAAAAGCTGTTTCAATATTTCCCCCCCACTCCGCATAGCAAGAGAAGTTTTCAGCCTTGCTCTCTGTTATGCACAAAGATAACGTGTTTGCAAACATGTACAAGGTCTCTTTGGGCCAGAGAGAGTGGGGGAGGAGAGAAAGAAGATGAATAAAGCCTTGGAGGAGGAGGGGCTTTGCCTTTTGCCCCTGGGGCCCAGTGCATGCACCATCGTAAAAAAAGTGGTCCATGCATCTGAAATAAACCTTATTTTTAAATCTTCCACTGCCTTGGCATTCTTGGGAAGAATACCTGTATTTTACAAACAACATTAGAATAACAGGATTCCCAGATCAGAACTTAATACAATTTCTGCCCCAAAATCAAATAAATGAACCATATGTGGCTTAAATATTTACATCAGTTACAAACTGAAAATTGTAGCCTTCATCACTCAGTAGCAAAGTTTTTGCCGTTGTGCTTAATTTGCTGCTGAATGTTGTTTCAGATATGAACTTTCCATAACTCTTAAATTACTGTATTATCTTCCTTCAAGTTAATTGTTCATTTTCTGTTGTCAATCTATATTGTCAATTGAATAATTTTTTTAAATTTATCTATATTAGTTTAGCTTCCAATTTAGATTTCAGTATGAGAAAGTAGATCTAACATATATTAAATTCTGAAATTAGATTGAAAAATTGTCATGACAGTCCCAGAACATCCTTTTTAGAAGATATCAATATCATTGTTTGTTCAAAACAGAAATAAAATATTGATAGGCTGAAAAAAAAAAGAAGGCTAAAAAAAAAAAGAAAAAAAGAAAAAAGAGCAAATAAACATTATGGGCATTCTTTACTTGTACTTTTGTGGAAGACGTGCAAAAAAACACAGGATGGGTCATTTACAGATGCTTTCCTAGGCTTTGTTTTCACAGTGAAGGTGATGAGAATCTCAAAATGAAAATAATGAGAGTTTACATTCTTGTTATAAGGAAAGTCTTAATTTATGCTTTGTTATTTGAATGTTCTCTTGGCCTCATTCTTATTAAAAGGAGAATAATTTCAAATTATTTAGCCTTGTACCTCTTGTTTTTAAGCTTATTTTCAATTATTTACATTGGTAATTCACTAGGTTTATATTATTACTATTAAAACTTAACATCAGTAAATTGCAATGGTGTTACTATGATATTTCATTCATACAAATAAGTTTTCTACTAGCTTTAGCTTATGGTATGCTAAAATAATGAAAGCTTAAACAAAAGTTGATGTTCTTTAGCCCATATATGTGTTGTAACTGCTTATGTATCAGTCTTTTGAATCATATCTTTTACTTATGCCTCTAACTATTATATTCAAGGAAGGTTTAGATCTACTTATATGAAGCTTTCCTTAATATGGACCACCTGCTGTGTTTGGTTCACATCTTTTGATAGAAAGGGTATACTCTTGTGACTAACTGTAGGCAAGACATATTCCTGCTGTATCAAGACCTCTTTAAGATTTCTTCACAAGAACACTTATTGTCTCTCTCTCTTTTCTTTTTTTTTTCCTTAAGACTTCCTATCTTTCAATTGTTTTTTTTCTGCTTCTCATCTTAAATTTATATTTGAAGTTTTATTGTCAGGGTTCATCTTTTTTTTCCTGCTTATACAGTACTCAGCTGGTCTCCTCTCATGATTAGAGCTTTCAGGCAGCTAATGTCTCTTTTTAGCTGCCAACAGAACAATTTCTATGTTAAATATAATTTTTAGACACTGCATAACAAGAGGACTTCTCAATTACATTTTGTTCTTCTAGCCTGTTATTAATGAGCAATTATTCACTTGCTATAGGATACAAAAGATTGAACATTCATGCAGCAGAAAAAATTTAAAATCTACTTGAAAGCATCTAATACGTAGTGAAGTCTGTCTTTATAGGAATTTTTATATATATAGGAAACTCACGAATAACACCTTTGTGGGGTTGTAAAATTATCAAGTTTTTTTGTCTTTTACAAATTTATCTTTACTTAATTGTGTAAGTACTTACCTACCAAGTTTTTGGCAAAACTTGAGTCTGACTTCTGCAGTCTTAGAAAAGAATGGCTTCTTGAGTCTAAAACAGTTGTTCACAGATCCACAATAATTAGGTATGACCTTGTCCAATTATAGAACTGATACATTTTCCTTCTGCAAATGACACAAAAAAAATTAGTTTTGGATGCTGCACTTAACAGAAGTGTGGTGAGTTGACCTTGGCTGGATGCCAGGTGCCCACCCAGCTGCTCTATCACTCCCCTTTCCAGAGGGACAGGGGAGATAGCAAGGTGGAAAAGGGAAAAGAAAAAACAAAAAACAACTCATGGGTTGAGATAAGACAGTTTATTTAAAGCAAAAAAGCAAAGTGAAGCTTGTACATACAGAAGCGAAGGATAGCAGGTTTTATTCTCTACTTCCCATGAGCAGAGCAGCCACTCCCGAGAAGAGGGCTTCGGTACACCAGACGGTTTCTCAGCAGGCAGTCATTAGACAATGAATGCCCACCCTCCTGCTCTGTGCCTTAGCTTTTATATCTGAGCTGACGTCATATGGTCTGGAATATCCCTTTGGTCAGTTTGGGTCAGCTGGCCTGCTTGGGTCCCCTCCCAGGATCTTGCCCTCAACTAAGGAAGGAATGTTACAGTGTTGGTGCTGTGCTCAGCAGTAGCCAAAACACCACTGTGTTATCAACACCCTTCCAGCTGCTAGTGCAAAGCACTGCACTGTGAGGGCTACTGTGGGGAAATGAACTCCAGCTCAGCCAGACCCAATACAAGAAGTTATTCTGTTTCATCTTCAGCTGATATTAGAACTGTCTTGGGATTTGTGTTTTATTCTCCAGAAATGTACTTAGAGTTGACAGTATTGGTTAGTAGTCTATACTCTGAATTTTTCTGATGGAGGCATCAGGCCAGTGTATTTTATATGCTATATAACAAAGATAAAGTTAGATACACTTATTTCATTTTAATTTAATTTTCCTACATAACTCTCAGTCTTCATTGACGTGGCATTCTCATTCTATGAATGAGAATGCCCATGACAGCTATCATGAGTTCCAGTTCAAATCAGGAGGAAATTCAAAGTTTACATATTTCTTTGGTCACTTCACTCCCCATTCAGATGTTTTTATTCCACCGTAGAAGTACCCAGAAATGGAGTTTAACCTTCAGAAAAAATTATCATGCATATGCAGAAGGAATGTTTTCCACACATCACTAATATTGAAATTGAGAAAAAAACGTAAAACATAAAATTTCTTTGTTTTATTACTATATGTAATTTCTAAATATACTTTGAATTCTCATTGTTGGTGTTCTCTTTCTCTGTTACCATTATTTATGCCTTCCTCTGTTTAAATGCAACAATAGTATATCATACATTCAAAATCGTTTAATTTTTTCCTTCTATTTTTTAAAGGTAACTAGCCATTTAGTAGTTGTAAATGATAAATGAGGAGGAATTTGATTTGATTATGAATTTTTCTCCTAAAAAAAAGCTAGTTTCTCTACTGCATATGTATTTCATAAGTGTTTCTTGAAAATAAGTAATGGTTCTACCTTTCTGTTCTATTACTGAGAGAATATAGCAAAATAAAAATGGGATGAAAATAAGATTAATTAGTATTTTTGAGCTTATTATAATAACATCTTATTGGTGACATAGATTGCAATTATACAAGTTTCTTGCTAGGCACAGAGCTCTAACTCATGAAAATTTCACAGAACACACCATGGGATTTTCAGATACCTTATTGAAATGGAACTTTCTAATGACTGAAATACCTGACATGTAAGAGTGGATATAGTGAAAAAGAGATAGAAGTAATACATCTGGGCAAGGTACTTTGAAGCTTTGCACCTTGTTACAATCATCTACTTTCTTGCAAATAGCACATAAACTGCTGCCAATCTGAATGGCTAAATCATTCTGACCCATGAATGTCTATACACATTGAAAATGCTGCATAAAAGAGCAAGATACTAGAAAATTTAGTTTCCAGTCGTTTACTGTTGATAAATTTTATCCTCTGAACAAAAACCATTTCAGTGGGATTTAAGTATTGTACTCATGAACAGGACTGATGCCTACTCACAAATGTTATTTCACACATTGCAGCAAATTCTCTTCATTTGGTATAGAAGCATGAGAGAATCATTCCACTTCATGGTTATGTGGTTCTTCATGGTAATATGTTGTGTATACAGCCACTAGTTTATATCACCTTTATGTAGGAGCTTTCATGAGCACAGGATTCACATTCTGATGCTGACTCTGAAGCCGTAGCTACTTAATGAACTACCCTCAATCTGCCTTTACTATTATTATTATCATTACTAAGCTGACGACTACCATGAATGAACAAGAAAGCTGGTTCAGTCACATCTTGTATTTTGACCCTATTATTGCAGAAAAAAAATTATTACAGTCATTGATGAGTCAGCTGTTCTACCTCAGTTCCTTAAACTAAAATTAAACTTTTCTGAAACATGTACATTCTTATTATGTGTAAAAAAAAAATTATTAAAGGATAAAAAGGAAAAAAGCTAGTTATCAGTACTTATGAACATCAGACTAGATCTTGTTACGTGATCATTATCAGAAGACCAGTGTTACCATTTTCTTATCCTAGCAATAGAATCTGTATGAACATGGAGTTTAACAACAGACATTATAATGTTAGTATCTTTCTGTCTTTTAGTATGACTACTTGGAATTTCCTACCAATTTTTTCTCTTAGATTAGGGAGAGATTTGAGGAAATAGAATGTTTCCTACCATCTGTACTGTAGACAAACTAGATTACAAATTTTTGAAGGACAAAATGAGAAACAAAAGTTTTATGTCTTAGTAGGTTTGCAACCATTTCTATCCTGGTGACTTCCAAGTTAAAAAGATCACACTAAAAAGAGTTCTACACATTCTTTGATTAAAAGTTAAATTTTAGGATATTAGAAACATATTAACTTCTTTAGCAGATTAAACAGATGTCCTAGTTGCAGGGAGGAGGAGCCTAGAGCCATGTCGGCATGGCTAGGTTCTGTTCTATACACCCACATCATCATGGGGGGCATGGTTTTGGAGGGAAGAAAAAGGTGAATGTACACTGGAAGTGCACCATTTTGTTCCATTTCTTCCTTGGGAAAGTAGCTGGAGACTGTCGAGGACCAAGAATCGGAATGGGAATGATTCCAGAAATGGAAAAATATGTACAGCGATTGAACAGACTTTATGATGCAGATTTCATAGTTGTTATGCATATACATTGTATGTTTCCCCAGAATTTGTATCTTCCGGGCATGTCCCGGCTTGTTCACCTCCCTGCTCCTCTGTTTCTCTGCCAATTGGCTGGAGAAGCTGCAGCAGGAGACAGCCCCCATTTACCCTTTCCTCCCCTGGTTCCTCCTGCGCTCCTCCCCCTTTTGCCCGTGTCCCTATCCTGGTTTGTCCCCTCGCCTGTCTGTCTCCTGCTCCACCCTATGTTCTGGCCCTTTCCCTCCGGAGCTGATAAAAAACCTCGTGCGCGCTGGAATAAAGACTCTACCTGCATCCCACCTTTGTGTCCCGGATCCGTGCTGTGTCGCGGCCCCGTTCCCCTCCCCCCTTCGGACAGCGGCAGGAGACCAGGGCTGAGGCCTCTGTCCCTCTCCCGCTGCTGTCTGTCCCTTCCCATCCCTAGGGAAGAACACAACTCCAAGCAGTGAACGCAGCTGAGCCCATCAGAGTGCGCATGCCGCAGCACTGGTGCTGGAAGCAGCTGTGGGAAGTGAAGCGGCAGTGAGCTGAGCCCAGCCAAGCCCAGCCAATTACTGTCAAGTCTCAGTGCCTTGAGCTGGAGGACTGTGACTGCAAGAACGATCGACTCCCTGTCAATGCTGAAATTGTGCAGGATCTGCTGCTTCAGCTGGATACTTACAAACCTATTGGGCCTGATGGGATTCATCCAAGGATCCTCAAAGATCTAGCTGATATCATCGAACACCGCCGAGGCGAGCCAAGACTAAGCTGAGCAGTGCAGTCCAGGAATGGAGCAGGCAGAGTTGTGGAGGTGACTCCAAAGCAGTGAACACAGCTGAGGGGAGCTGGCAGTGTGGAAGAAAGTCAAACCTGAGCAGAGCTAGGTGGCACAGCATGGAATCAAACCCAAGCAGAGCAGGGCAGTACTGCTCAATGCAGATGATCCAGCTTTTGGGGGGTTTGTTTGTGACTGTTTTTTGTTGTCTTGGGCTAGGGGATGGGAGACACCAGCTGCAGAGAGTGTCTGCCGTCTTGTCTTTGTCTCGGGACACCATGTGGCACTAGCTGTGGAGAGCATCCACCACCTTTTCTTTGTCTCAGGAACAACTGCATGTCACTGCTAGCTGTGGAATGTCCGCCATCTTGCTTTGACTCGGCAGCCACACGGAACTGAATCAAGGTGGTGTAAATCACCCTCTTTTCGTAAACTTTTGTTATAAATATTGCTCCTGTTACTGTGTCTTTCTTATTCTATTGCTGTTTGTTTTCAATAAATAGTTATCTCAACCCATAATGTCTACCATTATCCCCCTCTCACTGGAGGGAGTGGGAGGAAGGGGAGCAGTTTGTTTGGAGTTAAATTCCCCACTGGTTTGGAACCACCACAGCAAAACAAAATATTTTTCCAAAAAGAATCAAGGGTATCTATGAGGTCATTTCTTAGAAAGACACAGATTTTTGTACTATTGTTCTAGTAAAAATCTATTTGAGATTAAGTATTTTACAACATTCAATTAAATTATCACTACCTATTATCCAACATATCAAGAAAGTATGAATCTCTCAGTAGGCAAACTGCTTCTTTTTTTTTTTTAATCCCCCTTGTTAGGCAGTTAGAAAATTCTGATGCATAAAGCTAAGGTTTTGTGCAGCCACAGATGAGACTCCAGCTCCTGGGGAAAGATCTATGCCATCTATGGATACTTCAAGCTGCAATATATTTAAGGATGAATACACAGTCATTCCATTGCACAAACATCCTTCCTACTACATATGTTATGTGATTACAACAGGATAAAATTAGCATGCTCCTCCACACTATTATTTTCATTATAAAAAGTAAATGTTTTCTATGTGAAATACAGATAACTTACACTTTATTTTCCTTTCTATGTGCTTCAATCAGTCTGAACTACAAGTGCTAGACTCAACATCAAAACTTTTAGTATGGACTAGGATTTTTTTTTAATGGAATATTTTATGGTTGTCGAGCATCTGATATATTTTAAATGCTGTCTCTCGCCAGCTCTGAATGTAGGGCTAAATAATGAACAATCACAGAAATTGGCTCAATTACGTGACTGCCAGAGGTAACTGAAGGTTTCAGAATATGGCTTGCAATAAACAGGGTAAGCAAGTTCATTTTCCTCTCAGCACAGTTAAGGGAATAGCATTAAGGTAACATTTCTAAGCTCCTTGGATTTTACACTAGGCTCCTGGGTCTAAAGAAGAAGATTTATAACTACCAGTGTGAAAGACCCAAAGAGCTTGTGATTCCAGCAACCACTGAGATGTTATGTTGCAGAACAGAGCCCAGAGAGACTTTCCTTCTCTTACTCCTCTTTAATCAGGTCTCTGATTTTCCCTAAGACAAAGTAAATAAAAGAAGCACTTGCATTTCATTCTGTCCCTTCCAGGCAAGCCACACATGACATGAAAACACCAGAGACACACTAAGAATTGTTTTCTTCTAACAAGAAACTTACCTGTCTAAATTTACTGGAGTAAGATAAACAGTAGTATCCTCAAAGTTATATTTTCAATTTTATTCTCTATTTCATAGTAGCACTAATTCCACAGTCCTTAGTGTCATTGCCTTTTGTCCTAATAGATTTTTAAAGGAATAGGCCAAATAGTATTTCTGTGTTGAGACACAATAAAGACATACACCGACTAGCTGTAAACAAGCTTCTCGGTGAGAAGGAAATAAAAAGAAATTAGCCTGTGGAGTCCTACACTGCTGTGGCTAGACCACTTTCAGTGCCTAAACTACCCTAAGTCAGATGGCATTTGCAAATGAAGTGGAGGCAAAGGCTGCTGAAGAGCCAATTTCTAAGTCATATGAAAGCCAGAAGTCAGAAAGAAATTAGAAGTTACTAATACAATTGATAATTAAGGGAAATTCTCAGTATCATTTACATGCTTGAGGACACTGACACTGGAAAAGCCTAGTGACACTGAACTCGTGTTGTGAACAAACTTTGCCCTATAAATAATAAGCTGTGCTGACAGAAAGAAAGCATTTTCTCCAGTATATACTGGAGAAAATATGTAGGCTACTGCTCATCATCACCCAGGTAGTATAGACAACAGAAAAAATCCATCTCATGCAGAATATGGGATTTTTGCATATTAATGGCTATTCCTTATGCTAAATTATATTTTTTATATGTTGAGAGAGAATTTAGTTGAAAAATATTTTTAAAACCTGTGTTATGATAAGGAAATAGGCAATCTTGAAAAATATTCAGATAGTGCTAATGAATGGGTATGAGGAAACTTAGATTCTTGCAGTGATGAAGATACCTCCTAGAGCTACTATGTGAATGTAATGAATTACTCTTCTTTCAGCTAAGCATAATGTCTAGGAAAGGCACAGTCAAAACGAACTTTCCAAATTGTTTGAAGACAGAAATTCTATTTTGGACTTCTATTTCAATCTAGACTAAAACTAGAATTCTAGGTAAGAGCCACCATTATGAATGCATAGGGCAAATGAGTAAGCAGAAATAAGATCATAGAATAGTGTCCAACATTATAAATGATTTTAAGATTCTAGTCTGTTAGGTATTTGAAGGCAGTATTAGAGAAAAACACCTATGTGTAGCAAAAAGCAGACATCAGAGCCATTGATTTAGCCCTTGATTACTATGCTGTTCCCCAAAAATAAGATTAAGAAAATTATTGCTGGATGTAAGGCTGGAATGTGGTCCCAGAGTGTTTCCACGGAACAACTTCTTACTACACAAGACAATGGTAAAAAGATAATTAATCACATTCTGAAAGCTGGTGTAGATAAACCATATGCATATTATTTGAACATCTTAATCACAATTTGAAAAAAATAATAAATATAATGGTAAGTAAATGATTCTGTTGACTACAGAAAACTTCAGCCAATAGAAGGCAGCTACCCATTTCCATATTTAGCTGATTAACTCATTAAAGTGTCAGGAGAAAAATCTTTCAGTAGTTTGGTTCCAGCATTTGGATGTCACCACATGAAACTAACACTGGCAGATAAAGCAAGAACTACTTTTGAGACACTCACAGAGGTTTCAGACCCAATGAATACCTTTGTGAGTCATGAATGCCCTGGAAATGTTTCAGAAGGTAGTAAATGATCTATTACAAATTTTGAGATATGAAGATAACTTCACAACTTGGACGACTCAATTTTTTTTCTCATGAAACATAGAAGGAAATCTGGTAAGAGTTAAAAAGAATTTTAGAGTGAGGAAAATGAGTGTTGTTTTGTTAAAAAGCAATTAATCCTTCTCAGATACTGAGTTGACAAAGGTGGGTTTCTCAAGCATCAGAAAACCAGCATTATGAGAGAATGCAAAAGGCAAATTGATTTGTAAGTTCCACAGAAGATCTATCTGAAAGTTTACATTGCAGGCAAAACTATGAGATTTCCAGAATGATTTTGTCCAGACTGAGGAACATTTAAAACTTCTGTAGTGCAGAGAGCTGCTGGAAATCAGGAGACTCATGGAGTGCATTGAGGGTAACTTTTGAAGACAAGTGATAGACAACTCTATAGTGAACCTGTTCATCACCAGTGCAAGTGAGCTAATTGATGACATCAAGATTGGAGGCAGTCTGGGCTGTGGTGATCGTACACTAGTGTAGTTTGTAGTCCTGAGAGATATGGGTCAGTTAAAGAATTAAGTCAGGACTGAATTTTGGGAAAGTAAAATTCCAGCTGCTCAGGCAAGGAGAAGGCTTAGGTTCCAAACACCTTCTTTCACAGAATCACAGAATATGCTGAGTTGGAAGGGATCTACAAAGATCATTGATTCCAGCTCCTAGATCTGCACAGGACTATCCCCTCTGTGTCTGAGACTATTGTCCAAATGCTTCTTGAAATCTGGCAGGCTTCATGGCTAGGCTTCGCTAATGAAGATTTGGGAAGGGCTCTACCCACGTTTGTTGCACGCGCGTTGGTGGTTAAAAAGGCCAATATGAGATAGGCATGTCCGGTTGCAAAAGGCACAGCAGAAAGACTTCTTAGATGGTATATTCTGCAAGACACGATTCTTTCTGTGCTGTCTTTTCTCCTCGAGAGTGATCCTGCATGCGTTCTCAAAGGAAACAGCAGCGTTATAGATGGTGTGTCTCCAGGCCTGCCGATTTGAGGCCAGAGTAGACCAGTTATGGTGGTCAATATGCCCAAGGCTGAGATTTTGTTTCAAGGAGTCCTTGTATCTTTTCTTCGGGGCTCCTCTCTTGCGGCAGCCAGTGGCAAGTTCACCATAAAGCAGGATCTTAGGGAGGCGGTGGTCCTTCATCCTGGACACGTGCCCTGCCCAACGCAGCTGTGTTCTCAGTAACATGGCCTCAATACTTGTGACTGCTGCTTGTTCTAGAACAGATGTATTGGTCACATAATCTGACCAGTGGATGTTTAGGATTGTACGGAGGCAGCGTTGATGGAAGTGTTCTAGGAGACGCAGGTGGTGGCGGTAGATGACCCATGATTCAGATCCGTATAAGAGAGTAGACAGCACTATGGCTCTGTAAACACTGATCTTTGTACTTTTCTTCAGGTGTTTATTTCACCAAACTCTTTTATGAAGCTTTCTGAAAGCATTATATGCCTTTGCTAACCTGTTGTCTATCTCTCCGTCAATCTTACCATCCGAGGAGATGAGGCTGCCTAGGTAACTGGCAGGCTTAGTGCTGTGACCACTTCCCTAGCCTGTTCCAGCACCCAGCCACCTGGGTGAAGAACCTTTTCCTAACATCCAATCTAAACCTCCCCTGACACAATTTCAGGCCGTTTCTTTGGGTCCTGTCACTGGTCACCACAGAGAAGAGATCAGTGCCTGACCCTTCTCTTCACCTTATGAGGAAGTTGTAGATTGCAATGGGGTCTCCCCTCAGGCTCCTCCAGGCTGAACAGACCAAGTGACCTCAGCTGCTCCTCATACAGCTTCCCCTCAAGGCCCTTCATGATCTTCATTGCCCTCTTTTGGATGCTCTCTAGCAGCTTAATATCTTTCTTATATTGTGGTGCCCAAAACTGCACACAATATTCAACATGAGGCTGCACCAATGCA